AGCGTGCGGCGTCGCGGCTGGTTGCCATGGAGAGAGGAGCTGCGGCGGCGGCTGCTGGCTTGATTGGCCCGGCGCGCTGCCGGGGGCGGGGCTAAGCCGGCGCCTGGCCGCAGCAGTGCTTGTCACTGCCCGCCGGGCGGGGCCCTGGGAGTGGGCTTTACGGTTTGGTGCCCCTGGCCCTTCGCACGTAGCTGGGCTGGGCCGGGCCGTCTCCTCTGTCTCTCGCCTCCCCCTGCCGTGCGTGCTCTGCATCGCAAAACACGCCGGTGCAAACGCCTCGAAAAGCGCCCTCAGCAAGACTGAGAAGTCAGAGCTGCTTTGAGGCTTTAGGCCCTGAAGTCTTGAGACCGCCTCGACCCCATTCTTGCAGATCACAAGTGTCACCCACTCCTAGACCCGGGGTCTTCACTTCGGTTGTGCTGAAGCCCGTCCCAGAGCACCCTCCCCACAGCGCTGAGCGGGCATCAAGATCTGGAGAATCTACTGCCTCTCCTTCCTAGTCCTGGTCCTGAGGGCTAAAGTAGGGTTACCATAGGCGCGGGCTTTCCCAGATGTGTCCTCTTTTTGAGCCCCCTGATCTCTGTCTGGGCTGTTTTTTTTAAGTCTGACCAAATGTTTGGGATTTCTCTTTGCTTTGCTGGTGGGAGCAGGAGGAGGGCGGAAGCAGCAGGGAGCACAGACATACCTGCCTGCAGCTGTGGAGGCAGGTGCAGACCCATGTGATGCTCCCTGCTGCCTCAAATCGCCCTCCCCCTGCTCCCAGCAGCAGAGAAAAGCAAAATCTCTCACATTTGGTCAGGGCAAGGGGACAGGGACCAGGGCTGCAACAGGGCAGGGGAGGCAGAGGGGTTGCCTGCCCCTCCAGCAGGGGAGAAAGATCGGGGAACTGAGGGCAGCGAGGAACGCTATAGCTGGCTGGTAGCGCAGGGGTCAGTGCCTGCGCTCACAGGGCTGGAGCGGCCAGGAGACACTACCCAGAGGGAGGAAGGAGGGGGGAGTGGGTTGTGGTCATGCTACCTGGCATGTCCCATCCCAGGCTTCTGGCTACCCCCCAGGGCAGGGGGTGCCAGAAGCCTCCCCTCCTTTTCCCTCCAGCCCATGCTGGGGCAGGACACACTCCACCACTGCCTGCATGTCTGAGAGGGGCACAACCGGGGGGGGGGGGAGGGCAGGTGTTTTGTGGGTTGTGAGTGCAGGTTACTGACGGTACCAGGGAACTGTGGGTCAGGAGTGAGGGGCACCATTGGGGGGAGAAGAGTTGCAGGTCGGGAGTGAAGAGCGCCATCATGGCCCAGGGGGGCAGGGTACTGCAGTTTGGGAGTGTGGGGCACTGGCAGGGCTGGGATCAGTGAGTTGAGAGTGAGGGGCAGCAGCTGGGCGGGGCTAGGGCTTGGCAATGAGGGACAGGGCATCAGCATGTCACTGCCCACTCACCACCATATTCCTCCTCTCCCCCCACACGTGACGGGTCTCCTCTTTTTTGGACCTGGAAATATAACCCTAGAAAGTGCTATGCCTCATTTATGGCAGGATACATCCAGCTTGAGCAGAGAGAGAGTATGGAGGAGTAGGGACTTCCAGAGATCTTCTAGTCCAACCCTCTGCCAGAAGCAGGATCATCCCTATCCAAACCATCCTATGCAATCCATAATTTAAGTGGCCCAGCAGATGCAGTTAGCTGGGTTAATGTGAAGTCAAGTAGAAGGCAGGGTAGATTTACATGATAGATAGAAGATTTATAGATTCCAGGGTCAGAAGGGACCTCAGTGGGCCATCTAGTCCGACCCCCAGTAAAGGGTAACCAAACCTGGGATCATGTGATCCCAGCCAGGTGCCCGTCCAGTCTCCTCTTGAAGACCCCCAAGGACGGGGTGAGCACACCTACCTTGGAAGCCCATTCCAGATCCTGGCAACCCTGACCATGAAGAACTTTTTTCTAATTTCCAGTCTAAATCTACTCTCCAATAGCTTATGGCCATTGTTCCTTGTTATTCCAGGGGCTGCCCTGGTAAACAAATCATTGCCTACTTCTTGCTGCTCCGCTCTTATGAATTTGTACGCCGTCACAAGGTCCCCTCTCAACCTTCTCTTGGAGAGACTGAAAAGGTTGAGGTCCCTTAGCCTTTCCTCATAGGGCCTTCTCTGCAGGCCTCCCGTCAGATGAGTGGCTCTTCTTTGGACCCTCTCCAGGTTGTCTGCATCCCGCTTGAACTGCGGCATCCAGAACTTGACACAGTACACCAGCTGCGGCCTGACCAGTGCTGCATAGAGAAGGAGAATCACCTCCCTGGACGTGTTTGTGAAGCACCTACGGATGCACAACAAGGTGCAATTTGCTCCGCCGACTACTTCATTACATTGATGACTCATGTTCATCCTGGAGTCAGCCATGACTCCAAGATCTCTTTCTGCCTCAGTGGTGCTGAGAATGTCGCCCCCCAGCCTATAGGTATGATGGCAGTTTTTCCTCCCTAGATGCAGCACCTTGTACTTGTCCTTATTGAATTGTATCCTGTTGTTCTCTGCCTACTTCCCCAACCTGTCGAGGTCAGCCTGGATCTGGTTTCTCCTCTCCAGGGTGTTAGCTTCACCCCATATTTTAGTGTCATCTGTGAATTTGGACAGCGTGCTTCACACCCCCTTGTCCAGATCACTCAAGAAGATGTTGAACAGCACCAGCCCCAGAACTGAGCCCTGAGGGACTCCACTGCACACATCTTTCCAGGTTGACACTGACCCATCCACCACCACCCTCTGAGTGTGACCCCAGAGCCAGTTTGCTACCCATTCTACTGTATAATCATCCATGGCAGATCTTCTCAGTTTATTAATAAGGATGGTATGGGAAACCACGTCAAAGGCCTTCTTGAAGTCCAGATAGATAACATCCGCCTTGACTCCTGCATCTAAACATTTGGTGGCTTTGTCATAGATAGATAGATAGATAGATAGATAGAACAAGCTTTCATGAGCTGAGGCTCACTTCATCAGCTGCTGTGAAAGGACACGTAGAAAGCAGAATATAGGAAAATGAGAGAAATTAGAATACACAAGACAAGATTGCAGCCAAAGGTCCCTGTTAAACCCTTCTCCCTAAATTAAAGATTAGTTAAATTCCTGGTGTTCTGTCCCATGAAGATACTTGTACACTTATCAGATCACTTCTCAAGGCATTTTGATAGGTTAAATAGATTATTTCACAGTAAACCATAGTTTCCAACTCTTGAATTATTTTTATAGGCACAGTACTGTATAAGCATTTCACTAATGGTCTCACCAATGCCATGTATGGTGCCTTCCTTTTCAGAGTCACTGCTTTCCTGGTTACCCAGGTATTCTGAATGTATTCTGTATTCCTTGTCTGTATGTGCATAACTTTGTGCTGGCTATTTTGAAACATGTTTTGAATGTGCCCAGGTTATCAAGAAATATTGATCCCCTTTATGATTGTTCTGGTCTTACCATCATTATTTTTCCAGTTGTTGTGTCATGCATATTTTATCATCAATGGGTGCATCTACATGAGAGTCTTACTGCTGAGTTGGCTAATTAGCACTGCACTAAAGCATCACTGTCTACACGTGCACTTCTATTAGGCTGGAGTAAACTAATTAACTCCACTGTAGGATAGGACTACTGGACAAAAGTACTATGCTACGGTAACACGTGTAGGCAGCCCTGCACTGTAGCACCCTCATGCCCCAGCCAGCCCCTCCACAGCATGTTGAGCCAGGTCAGAGCAGCCCTAGGCTGGCAGACTGATCCCCCACTTCCCCCGGGTTCCTTGCCAGCCAGGGCTGCAGCACCCTGGCTCAACATACTGCAGTACCAGGCACACATACAAACACTGCACCCAGGAGCAATGAACTCCTGTGCAAACTGCACCAGAGTTTATTGCATTTCATTAATATCACATGTAGGTACACCCAGTGATTTTATATTTACTTTCAGATCACTGATGAAAATGTTGGATACTGTTTTGGGCCTGGTATCAATCTTCACAGAACCAAACAAAGGTCCCATTCAATTAATATATATATCCCTTGGACAACTAATTTTTGAGATCCATCAGCTAGTCTTTCATGAACTTAAGAGTTCAGTAACTGATATTATGAAGTCAAGTCAGTGCCTGGGGCAGTTGCCCCTATCACACCCATCTTCCCTCCCAGTTATACCACTGCATGACACTGCCCAGCTCTGCTGCTATTCCTGGGCCTGCAAGCAACGAAGTGGGGAGAGACGGGGGGAGGGTGATAGATAGCTGCCCTGGGCCCATTTTTTCTATACTTTGCCTCTGATTGACATAGTGGGTATAGACCCTTAATTAGACAATAAAACAATTCAGATACAAAATACAAAGGATTACTTCAAAGTGGTATATGTATTTGGCTTAGTTGCATTTATACATATTTTAAAACATATCTGAAGTTGATACAGATATACAGATACAGAGATATAGAAGTTGTAGAATGATATATAGTTCACAAATTATAGCAGATCTTCTTACTTTGCTGACAAGGAGTACTACTTTGATGTCAACCAAATTTGGGTATGAATGTTGTATCTTGACCATTATTATT